GTCTCACTCTATTCCAGGCAGCCGGGCCGTGACAGCCCCACTCAGGGGAGACGCTGCCTCCTCCGTGTCAAGGCCCTGCAGTGAACCCCACGAGCCGGCGCTCAGCAGGGCTTCCCGGGCCTCACACTTGCCACCTCTCACAGGGTGCAGTCCGACCACTTTCTGTTGCTTTTGTGGCGTTTTCCTTCAGACGGGTTTGTGTCTTACACAGGTTCCCTCTTCATGGGTTTTACTGTGTCTGGTTCTTAAATGTCAGGTGATCCCACACTTCCCAGTTTCTTGGCGCTGTTCTCACGCTCGCCTTTTGTTTCTGTGCACGATAAGCGAGGTCACATGACAGTCTTAACTATTCCAATCCTTCCCGGTCAGTCTCTGCTGTTTCTTCTGCGGGCTCCCACTCACGGGGCCTCCGGGCTGTTCTCAGCCGTGCGCTCGTCACTCCTAACGGGGAAGTAGCCCAAGGACACAGCACAAGCCCAGCCTGTGGGCCGAGGTTTCTGTTCCACAACGTGATGCTGAGCCGGGGGCCAGGTCAGGAGGGGACTCCCCTCCAACCCCTCGCTCCCTTGAGTACCTGGCCAAGCCTCCCTCTTGGGAGCAGATGAAGGGGGTTGGCATAGACTCACCCTGCCAGAGGGTAGAGTTGGGGGCCCCAGTCACGTGGCAAGGGTCTCCTTAGACTCTCAGCATAGCCAGGCCTGAGGCCTGCCTTCTTGTCCTCTTGGCTGAGCGAGGCGATTCCTGCCTGGAATGGTGGCCAAGAGCCTTCTCTGTGAGCTCCTGCCGCACCGACGTCTTGGCATTTTACGGTGGCGTGCTGGGGGCAGCATGTGTCAGTCCACATTGCTCCGAGTGCTGGAACACGACACATGTGACTGCTAACCACAAGGCTGGTGGTTCAAACCCACCAGCCACTCCTCAAAAGAAGACTGGCCTATCTACTTCAGTAGAGATATCACCTCAGAAATCCAAGGAAGGGGTGCCATGAGTTGGGATCAACTCGATGGCAGTGAGCTTGATTGTTTTTGGTTCAACACTGAAGGCTGTCACCTGCTGAGTCTCCTCTAGTCTGTCCCCCATGTGTTGGTGTGTAGCTGTCACTGTCGTTCATTTCCTGGTACGGCTTCTTCTGTGACCGCGGATCTCAGACTTCTCTGTCATCTGTTACTGTTTCAGGTATGTCGTGCTCCATGGCTGTGATGTGTCATTCTATCCTGTGAGAATGGCTGTGTCCCAGTACATGGTCCAGTCTCAGATGTCCATGTCTCCTCTCATGCGGTGACAGACCAAGCCTGGTGAGGGCGGAGGTGACCCAAAGCTCCTGCGTCTGTAACTTCCATTTGCTTCATCTGTCAACTCCTGAGAGAAGTGTTAAGAAGGGTGGCCCAGAACCAATGACCCGAGGGTCTACTGTGAGAAGCCCAGACCAGAGCGAGTCCAGCCCTTAGTACCAGCTCTGCCGTTCGTGGGTGGCGACGAGCTGGGGCCGACTGGGCAGCACTAACAAGAAGAAGGATGGACACTGACAAGTCTGAGCAGCAGTCCACGAGGACAGCGGTGGACAGGCAACGCACCAAAAGCGCGCTCTGGGGCAGGTGGACCTAGAACTCCTAACCCTCAGCCGGACTCGGGGAAAAGAGAAACCAGGTGCCACCTGAGGCATCGCATTGGCGAGCACGGCTGGTTCTGCAGACTCCAAGGAGGCAACGTGGGGCACACGTTTGTGCCAACTGTTGACGCCTGCGATGAAATTCCTCAACACGCCTACTTAGAAACAGGACACAGGAGGGAACGGGCTGTCTCCACCGCAGAGCTCTAACCACAGGGAGCCCACCTGCCCTGAGAGGGTCACCAGAGGTCACCTGAGGAGATGAAAAGGACAGCACGGGCCCAAGGAGGCAGGGACATGCTGCCAGCCCAGGGGCTGCACGACCCCTTCCCTCCAGGGCAGGGGCGACCCCACACCCAGGAAACCCACCCATGGTGCTCCCGCACCTGACTGACTGAAACGCCAGGAGCTCCAAGGTCCGGCCCTCAGCGATGGGCACCGGCGCACAGGGTCCCCTCTGCCGGCCCACCCTCAACCAGCTATCAGGGCTGTGCTTGCCAACAGCTGCGCACCCTCCCCCCAGACTACAGGCAGGGCCTTGCGCCCAGCTGACCTGTGGAGTCCACATGTGGCCCAAGCCAGCTCTGACAGCATGTGGTGGGAACCCTGGCCAATGAGCACGTCAGAGCAGGGACAGTGCCCAGCCTGCCCCGAGGCTTCCACGCACTGGAAGGCCCGGCCCCCTCGGCCTAGGGGACCTGCTCGTGGTGGAATGGGCAGAGGCCCCGATGGTTCTGTGCAAGAGGGGGATGGGTACACGGGGGGGACTAGCAGGGAGGGCAGAGGGACTGTGCCAGCACCCACTCTGTACGCGGCTCCTGCCTGCTGCCTGCGGGCCTTCCGTTTTGGTCCCTAACAAAAATGCTCACAACTGGTCCTATAAGCAGCATCACAATAAATGAAGGAAAGCCTGAAGTTGTCAAAGACTTCACACTGCATGATTCTACAACTGAGGCCAATGGAAGCAGCAGTCAGGGCATCAGATAACGTACAGCACTGGGCAAGCTGGCTGCAAGGGCCTCTTTCAAGTGTGCCTGACACAAGCCATGGTATCTTGGTCCCCTTACATGCATGTGAGAGCTGGACAATGAATAAGGAAGACCTAAGAAGAGTTGATGCTTTTGAGTTGTGGTGCTGGCGGAGAATGCTGAAAGTACCATGGACTGCTAAAAGAACTAACAGATCTGTCCTGGAGGAAGTGCAGCCAGAACGCTCCTTGGAAGCAAGAATGGCCAGACTTCGTCTCACCTACTTTGGTCATGTTGTAAGAAGGGACCATTCCCTGGAGAAGGATGTCATGCTTGGTAGGGTGGAAGGTCAACGAAAGAGGGGAAGGCCTTCGATGAGATGGACTGACATGGTGACTACAGCGATGGGCTCAATATAGCAGGGATCACAGAGCTGGCGTGGAACCAGCAGTGTTTCATTCTGCTGTGCATGGGGTCACTATGAGTCAGAGAGAACTCGACGGCTCCTAACCACCATGAGGAGTTTGGCAGAAGCAGCGTTCCCGGCTGTGACCTGTGTGTGCCAGGGCCGTTGGAGCCGAGATGGGTGCCACCTGTCAGAGTGGCCCCAACACACAGCTGTCACATTCCTGGAGCCCGCTGCTGGGACAGGGGGACTTGGTGGGTGCCGGGCCCCATCCCGTGCAGGCTGCAGGTAGAAGTAGCACGCACACGGGCACGGGTTATGCAGCCCCCTAGCCCCTGCCTCACTGGGGCTGCTCAGGTGGGGGGCTGGCACCTCGGCCCTGTGACCTGCAAACCCAGGCATCCTCGTTCCTGACACGGGCTGTGGCTTCCAGGCAGGGAAGGGGCCCCACGTGGGCGGGCAGGTGACCAGTGGCCACTGGTTCTTCCTGCTTAGCAGACCACAACAGAAATGGAGGGATGTGGGGGGCACACAGGAAGGAGAGACCAGGCAGAGGGGCCACTGAGTCGGGGCAGACCACCACCACCACCACCACCCGCTCAGGCTGCACTGTGATAAGGCACCCGGCAGGGAGGAGACAGTGTGCCTGGCTGGCTGTCAGCTTGTGTATTCCTAGGACTCTGCACACCCAGGCTGGGCACCAATGATGCCCGTGGCAGACAGCAGGAGGGTGACGGTGCGCGGGCCGGCTGCCCACGCCGACAGCGTGCGCACTTCCAGGACTGTCCCCACAGGCCCGGCAGCAGACGCACCCGACGACACCCTGCCCTCACGGCACAGGAGCAGCCCGGGGGCTCCGTTCTGCTGCAGCGGACGCCACTCTGCCGGGCAGAGCCAGGACCACGCGGGCGACAGCAGTCAAGTCCCTCCCTTGGTCCAGTCACACGGCTGCAGCCCCAGTCACTCGGGACAAGCCCTCTGTGCGGCGGTGCGGCGGCCCCAGAGGCGGCTCCCAGCTCCCGAGCCCTCGGCCTTCAGCGCTGCTCACAGCTCGTTGTGCCGACTCCTCGAGACCCTGCCGGCCAAGTCCTGGAGGTGCTTCTTCACCTGGAACAGAGGGCCCGGCGTCGGTCAGCACGGCAGCGAGGCTCCCGCACAGGCGGGCAGTGCCCACGGCACATGCTGCCTCACCCCGCACGCGCCACGCAGCCGGAACCAGCAGCCCAAGAGCTGGGGTCCCGTGGGCAGCACCAGCCAAGCTGGGGACAGGCCGTGCCGGGAGGGAAGGCATCGTCGGGCGCCACACACCCGCGCCACAAACCAGCACGGAGACGGGCCTCCTGTCGGCCTCAGAGCCAGGTTCTTCTGGGGGACCCCTGACCCCCTCAGGGCTTCTGCCCTTGAAAAAGCATCACACTTGTCATCACCACCCTCTACGGGGACTCAGCACCCCCACCCCCACCCAGGCATGGAGACTTTTTTGTTTCTCACAAAACCCAGCAAGGCCAAGGCTAAAGGTACGCGACCCTCCACCCTCAGCCTGTCCCAAACCCTGGCACGGCCCCTATTCCACATGGGCATCCGAGCCCAGATGGCAGCTCTGTCCTGTGGGGGGTCAGGAGAGCTCTGCCTGTTGCAGACAAGCTGTTCTGCAAGTCCCCACACTCCGATGTTGATCTTGGCCCCTCCCCCCCCCACGCTGACGGGGACCCAGGCGCACTGCGTCTCTCCCCACAAGAAGGCACGGCCCCAAGCCTCTCCTTCCCTGCCTTGTTTCAGGTTTTCTCCCTCTGGGGTGGAAAATGTGTCTCACGGGGGTAAGCACTCGGCTGTGAACAGAAAAATC